AAAATGGAGAAGAAAAAAATGGATCTTTAAAAATTTGAGGGGCGATTTTTGTTTTCCTTTTTCCCTTTATTTTTATCTCCTTTTCCATTTTTTTCTGCCCTTTCCCTTTTTTCCCTCTCCCTTTTTCCTCTCCCCTTTTCCCCCCCCCCCTTTCCCCCCCTGGCCCCGGCGCGGCGTCCGGGTTTGCGCGGCCCCCAGCCGGGGGCCCGGCCGCCCCCCGGGCCGGCCCCCGGCCGCCCGCCCCTGGGGGTGCTTGGGCCCCCGGGGCCTTTCTTCCCCGGGCCGTCCCCTGGGTTCCCCCGGGGGGAAAAAGCGAAGCGAAGAAAGGGGCCCCCCAAAAAGGAGGAAGAGAAGATGGGACAAAGAGAGGAAAAGAAAATGGAAGACAGAAAAACGAGCGGACAAAAAAGGAGCGAAAGGGAAGAAGAAGGGGAAAAACAGGGAGAGAGAAAAAGACAAAGAAGAGAAACAGAGGAGGAGAAAGAAAGAGAAGGGGAAGAGACAGACAAAAGGAAGACAGAGCGAGAAGACAGGAAAGACAAAGAAAGCGAAGAGACAGAAGAAGGAAAAAGAGGGAGAGAGACAACAGAAAACGGCGAAAGGACAGACACAACAGACAGAGCAGAAGGAAAAGACCGACGACAGAGCGAAAAGGAAGACAGACAAAGAGCGGAGAGACAGCAACAACAAAGCGGGGAAGACAACAACAGACAAAGGCAAAGAGACAGACAGACAAAAAGCGAGAGAGACAACAGCAAAAGAGCGAGAGAGCAACACAGCAGAAGAAAACAGCAAAGCGAGAGGGACGAAAAGACAGACAAAAAGACAAAGAAAAGACAAAGAACAACAGACAACAGAGAAAAAGACAACAAGCGAGAAAAAACAACAACAAGAAAACAGACAAGCGAGAGAGACAGACAACAGACAGAGGGAAGACAGACAAAAGAGACATACGAAGGGGGAAAAACAAAAACAGACAACAAGCGAAAAAGACGACGAAGAAGAAAAGAGAGAAGAAGAAAAAGAGAAAAGAAAAGAAAGAAAGGAGGAAAAGAAAGAAAGGGAGGAGAAGACCAAAGAAAGAGCGGAAGAAAAAGAGGGAGAGAAAAGGGAAAAGGGGAGAGAAAAAAGAAAAGAGAGAAAAAGAAAAAGGAAGGAAAAGAAATTAAAGGAAAGGAGAAAAAAAAAAGAGGATAAGGAAAAGAGAGGAAGAGGAAAAGAAAAAAGGGGAAAAAGAGAGAAAAGAGGAGAGAGAAAAATGGAAAAAAAAAAAAAAAAAGGGAAAAAACAAAAAAAACAAAAAAAAAAAAAAAAAAAAGAAAACCCAAGGGAAAAAACAAAAAAAAAAAAAGGGAAAAAACAAAAGTTTTAAAATAAAAAAAATGGAGAAAAAAGCAAAGAAGAGAGAGAAAAAAAGGGGAAAAAAAAAAATTTTTTTCTTTTTTTTTTTTTGCCCCTTCGTTTTTTCCCTTTTCCTTTTTTTTCTTCCCCCCTTTCCTTTTTTTGTTCCTTCTTTTTCTCCTTTTTTCTCCTCTTTCCCCCTCCGCCTCCTTCTTTTTTTTCCCCCCTTTGGGGCCCCCCTTTGGGGGGGGGGGCCCCCCGGGGGGGCCAAGTTTTAAAGGAGGAGATGGGGAAAAGAGAAAAAGGAGGAAAAAGAGGAAAGGAGGAAGAAGAGAGAAGGGGAGCAGAAAAGGGACAGAGACAAGAGAGAAGACGGGGAAAAGGGAAATAAATGAGAGATGGGGAGCGAAGAGAAAAACAAGGATGGAGGAGAGAGAAAAACCAAAAGGAGAGGGAGGAAGAGAAAACCCAAGAGAGAGTAAAGAAGAAAGAAAAGAAAAAAGAATAAAGAAGCAAAGAAGAATAAAAGAAAGAGACAAACAAAAAATAGAAGAAGAAAAAGAGAGAGACTGAGAGTGACTGATAGAAAACTGAGAAAAACACTGACTAGGTACAGACTCAGTGAGCACAGTCTGGCTATAGAGACCGGTCGTCACAGCAAACCTGGCTGCCCAGAGAGGACAGGCTGTGCTCACTCTGCCCCCGGGGAGAGGTAGAGACAGAGCTGCATTTCCTATTACACTGTGACAAATACTCAGACCTAAGAGAATCTTTCTTTCCCAAAATTATCATTCAGTACAAAGAATTTGAAAAACTATGAAAGAGGAAGAAAAAATCAAATATTTATTGGGTGAAAAGCCAAAATGAGCAATTTTGGCAGCCAAATATGTGTCCTCCTGCCACAACCTGAGGGACAGCCAGTGAAAAGTGTAATGTAATGTCAATAATATTTCCTGTTTTGTTTTGGCTTTCATAGCATGTAATGTGTCTTCTCAGTCATGTTGAGATTGGTCGACTACTATTGCTTTAATGTATTGTTATTCTCATTAATATTGTTGTTGTAGTTGCTGTTAATGGTAATCCCATTTCCACTACTACTACTAACACCATTTTTGTTATATGTATACTTTGACAATGTAAGTAATTTTACTTGCCATGTCAATAAAGTCTATTGAATTGAGAGAGAGACAGAGAGACAGAGAGACAGAGAGACAGAGACAGAGACAGAGAGAGAGAGAGAGGAGAGAGAGAGAGAGAGGACAGAGAGAGAGAGAGAGAGAGATGGAGGAGACAGAGAGAGACAGACAGACAAACAGAGACAGAGAGAGACAGAGACAGAGACAGAGACAGAGAGAGAGACAGAGAGAGGGGTAACTGCAGCCACATACACACACACACCTCTTCCTGCTCTAAAGGAGAGAAGGAGAGACTTGGGGATAAATCTCAACCTTTGACCTGAGCCCCAAACAGCTAAACACAGGCTCTGGTCAAAGGTTGAGCAGTAGGGAACAGTGTCCCATTCCAGACCCAACCATAGAGTGAAACTCTGGTGCGTCCCACCTTGACGAGGTACTGGTACTGTTGGGGGTTCCTCTCCAGGCCCAGGCGCCGCAGCAGGTCCTCCTCACCCCCCTCAATCAGCTGGTAGAAGATGTGGAAGTTCCTCTCTCCGTGGTTCTGGTGCACCACCCGCGACTTCTCCAGCAGGTAGTTGAGGATGTGGCCCCCCACTGGAGCACCCTGCCGCCGGGAGAGAAGGAACCGGGGAAAGGGGGAGGAGGAGAGGGTGGTGATACAGGGATACTGAGACAGACACAGGGCCACACAAGGACACAAAACCACATGCAGGTGTATACGCCCCACGAAACGAACGCGCCCCATGGAGAGTACAGTAACGTAGGAGTGGAAAAATAAACACACAGTACAAGTTAATATGGAAGGACTGGTAGTGTTTATGTACTGGTATCCCCCTTACAGGAACATACTCTGTCAGTGTGTGTGTGTGTGTGTGTGTGTGTGTGTGACCACTCACTCACCTTGAAGTCAAACTGGATGTCCATGTATTTACCGAAGCGGCTGGAGTTGTCGTTGCGCAACGTTTTGGCATTTCCAAAAGCCTGGGGTCACACATCGGGACGAAGAGAGGTAGACAGAGAGGAGGGAGAGACAGGAGGGAGGCAGAAGAGAGAAAAGGGAGGTAGACCGAGGAGGAGAGGATGAAAGAGGGGAGGTCCACAAAGGAAGAAGAGAGAAAAGAGTGAGAGGAGGGGGAGATAGGAGGGAGATAGGGGAGGGGGTAGACAGATGTGTTAAAGTAGAGTCAGGCAGGAGGTGTGCTGGGCTGTGGCTGAGACACGGGGCTAGGTTACAGGGCAGTGTGTCGGTCTATACCCCTCTGCTCTGCTGTGATCCTAACACATCTGCTCCCCTTCTGTCTGGACTCCGCTAGACTACAGCCCATCCAAAACACAACCACAGCTCAATACAGTGAGTAGAGAGCCCGCTCACGCTCCAGGACAGGCTGCACACACACCTACACACAAATATGATGTCTTGTTTTAGACTGGCCCAAGCCAGGCACATGCAACGGATGACCTGGTATTTCCCCCCCCCCCAGTATTCACCTCTAGGACAGGGTTGGACTGCAGCAGGCGGTCCTTGACTGTCTCGACCTGGTCGCTGGCGGGACAGGTCACGGCGTAGTACTGCAGGATCTTCTTTGATGCCTCAGTCTTGCCGGCACCGCTCTCCCCCGAGATGAGGATGCACTGGTCCTTACGTTCCGTCCGCATGGACCGGTAGGAGTTGTCAGACACTGCGTAGCTGGAAGGAGGAGGGGGGGTGAGAGATAGAGAGAGAACATGAATCAGTGAAGGAGTGGGACAGCTAGCAATCACAGAGGCACTTTGTATCATCGCATCCTCATGAACCTTCAATTTGAAGTGGATGGGTTACAGTGGAGTGGATGGGATATTTCCACACTTCATATTGTAGATCCTCAACTGTTCATTTGTTTATTATATACTTTCTTATTATGTGTGGTTGTTCTGTTTTTACTGTATCTATCTTGTATATGGAAAATTCCACAAAAATGATTTTGTCTATATTTTGTCTGTATATTGTTTTTATTGTCCGCACCATTTCACCAGGTCAAATTCCTGGTCCATGCAAATGTACTTGGAGAATAAAGTTGATTCTGATTCTACCCTTTTAAATAAGATCCCATTTGATAAGTGATAGGTGTGGTGGCCATACAGTAAATGAGATATGATGATCCTGTTATGATGACTTATTTTCACCAGGCTCCATCTATGTTTACTCAGCCTGTTTTGCCACATGACAGGGGTGTGATTCAGAGGGATTGGGTTAAGTGTGGAAGACACACTAGGTACCGCCCTTCCCTTTCCCCTGAAACAGAGTTGAGATAACGTTAGCGCCAACGTCAACCCCTCCAAAAGACCCCTATCAGTCACCACCGAAACCCCCAGGAGAGGGTGGGGGGGGGGGGGGGGGGGTGGGGCAGGAAAATCTCCTCCTAGGAGGAACACCCCTCTGAAACCACCTAGTACCATCCCCCCCCCCACCCCTCCTCTCTTCACCCCATCGCCCATTCGTCTCTCTGTCCCTCCTCCATATTCCCTCCCTTCCAAAACACATCCCTCTTTTCCCCCTCAGACAGACAGAAAACATTTGGCTACATCATCGAGTAGAACGGGAAAAAACAAGGAGTCGAGGAGCGGCGAAGCCGGGAATGTTGAGCGCATGGCGGAATCTCCATAATACAGTCCATTGTTCGCCCGTGGTCAGAGAGTCAGAGGAATCGGCCAGGAATTCCCTCTTCGCCTAGCAACTCATCAAACAAACAGCCCCAATGTAATGTATGCCGAGCAGACACTCAGAAAACCCTCTGTTACATAACTGTTAGTCCATCACTGAGTCAACTGGGATGGGAGAGGAGGAGAGGGAGAGATGGTGGGTTAGGATACCCGGGTTCAGGTTACTCACATGTGGGGAGAAACCTCGTAGAAGTTGACGCCTCGGTAGCGCTCCATGTGGTTCTTGGTGTAGATCTCCAGATCCTTGTAAGGGTTCACCGACACCAGGACTGAGCCGATGTATGTCTGAGAGAGAGAGAGAGAGAGAGACAGAGAGCGCGAGAGAGAGCGAGAGAGAGAGAGAGAGAGAGAGAGAGCGAGAGCGAGAGAGAGTTCATGGTGTCTTTAAGGTGAAAACAAAGTGGGGGAATGTTGGGATGCATCTACACACACTTTTTTATTTTCAACAGAATACAAAAACAAGCATTGTTTATTGGACAAGTTCAGGTAGTCCTTCCCCGTTTGCTACCTAATGAATATGACCCAGGAGGTGAGTGCAATTGGGTAGGCGTCTTACATAGATGAGGTTCTCCTTGAAGCGCTTGCGGAGGTTCTCGATGAAGGCCGCCTCGCTGGTGTGGTTCTCCAGCAGGACAAAGTCCTGCACCCCCACCCGGTCCCTGGCCGTCAGGGCACTCTCCATCGTGATCCGCAGCCCGTCACTACCCACCGCCTAGAGGTAGGAGAGAGAAGTCAGCAATAGGAACCATGTATATATCGGTATAAAAATAAGGCAGGAGAGAGAACCAAAAAAATACCAAAGACCCTGGTTAAGTTCAATAAACGTTGCTTGTGAGTATCTCGCAATGTGTTCATAACAGCCCCGGAATCTAGCTACGTACCTCAAGACACACTATGACACAACGCTTCACAAAAGGTACCCATTTCCATCAAAAACTATGACAAAGATTAGTTAGCACAAGAGCCTTCTCCCCCACATTCAATAACATACACAGACAGAAAGTTATTGTAGAAGTTTTGCAGTGTTCCATATTAAAGAGCTCTCCTTAGAAAACAACTCACTTTGTAATCTTGTGCAAGCTAGAACTAGAAGTGGAGGAAAACCCAACCAAGGCTCCAACCAAGCAAAAATCCCCAATCTAAAAAGAAAACGTAACTTACATCCTTCAGCTCGTCAATGCGTTTTCCCAGGAACCTGTTTTCTACGATGGAGGCTTGAGTTTTACACACCAGATCGCGAATGTTACCCAGATCCATGGCTCACTATACAGTATAGTCACTATCACAATACCACACAGATCTGTCACTACGCTGTGGATGCATCAACAAGGCAGGGAACGCACAGATGATTATGCCAGCACACACACGGGTCCACACGTGCACACACACACACACGCACGGAACGCACGCACGTTTATTGTTCAATGTCCATGTTCATTACCACACACACACACACACACACACATTCTACAGAGCAGCTGCATATGTTGTTGTGTTATTGACACAGTAGGGCCTCGGCCCAGGGGATAGAGAGAGGGAGAGAGGTGCCCCTCCTCCTAATTAAGGGCTAGGTGAGGCAGCTGTTGACAATAGGGCTTGTATCACAGAGGAGAAAAACAGAGAGAGAGGAGGGATGAAACGGACAGAACGTGTGAGTGTAGCTTAGGAGGAGAGGAGACTGGAGAGGAACGAGGGGAGGGAGGTGTGCGTGTGTGTGTGTGTGCGCGTGTGTGTGTGTGTGGTGCCAGGAAGTGACTCCATTCCTTATCAATCATCACTGTATTCCCCAACGTTCCAAAAACAACTCCCTGCTTCACACAGTACCATACCCTCCTCCTCCTCCTCCTCCTCCTCCTCCATCCATCCATCCATCTCTCCCTCCGTCCGTCTGCTTTATGCAACATTGAGTTATAACGAGAGATGGCAGGAGAGATAGTGAAGTAGTCTCAACAGGGGTGTCCCAAATGGCACCCTACTCCCTATATAGTGCACTACCTTTGACCAGGTCCCATAGGGCTCTGGTTAAAAGTAGTGCACTATGTAGGGAATAGGGTGCCAATTGTGATGGAACCCTGGTTGTTAAGGGCTCTACACAGTCTATGCAAACGGCATCGATGGAGGTCCGTTTGCATTCCAAAAATTCAGCCGCACAAATGTACGTAGAACTACGTAGAGAGGGACGCAAACGGACCTCCGTCGGCTCTGTTTGCGTAGACTGTGTAGATCCCTTTAGACTTTAATCCTAATGAATTGCCTCTGCTTGAGGAGTCTCCACACACCAACACACCATTTAATGTTCTTTAGCTTTACGACTTAACCTCTTAAGGATCGGACCCTTTTTTTAAATATTCGCCTAAAATGACATACCAAAATCTAACTGCCTGTAGACCTGAAGCAAGGATACACATATTATTGATACCATTTGAAAGGAAACACTTTAAAGTTTGTGGAAATGTGAAATTAATGTAGGAGAATATAACACATTAGATCTGGTAAAAGATAATACAAACATCATCTTTGAAATGCAAGAGAAAGGCCACAATATAATATTGCAGTTTAGGTGAAAAGTTTCAGATTGATCCAGTGAAGCATTGCAATACTGGACTATGTCCAGATGTCTGCCCAAATGTGCTGAATTCGTCAAATGATACATTTTCAAGTACATAACTATAGAGAACATACAAAAATTATATGGTAATAGAAAATGTAAGTTTACACAATCCCAGGAATGTCATACATGATGGATCATTAGCTTATACAGTCCTGGTCAAAAGTTTTGAGAATGACACAATTACTAATTTTCACAAAGTCTGCTGCCTCAGTTTTGATGATGGCAATTTGCATATAGTCCAGAATGTCATGAAGAGTGATCAGATGAATTGCAAAGTCCCTCTTTGCCATGAAAATGAACTTAATCCCAAAAAAACATTTCCACTGCATTCCAGCCCTGCCACAAAAGGACCAGCTGACATCATGCCAGTGATTCTCTCGTTAACACAGGTGAGAGTGTTGACGAGGACAAGGCTGGAGATCACTCTGTCATGCTGAATGAGTTAGAATAACAGACTGGAAGCTTTAAAAAGGAGGGTGGTGCTTGAAATCATTGTTTTTCCTCTGTTAACCATTGTTACCTGCTAGGAAACACGTGCCGTCTTCATTGCTTTGCACAAAAAGGGCTTCACAGGCAAGGATATTGCAGCTAGTAAGATTGCACCTAAATCAAGCATTTATCAGATCATCAAGAACTTCAAGGAGAGAGGTTCAATTGTTGTGAAGGCTTCAGGGCGCCCAAGAAAGTCCAGCAAGCGCCAGGACCGGCTCCTAAAGTTGAGTCAGCTGCGGGATCGGGGCACCATCCAGTGCAGAGCTTGCTCAGGAATGGCAGCAGGCAGGTGCGAGTGCATCTGCACGCACAGTGAGGCGAAGACTTTTGGAGGATGACCTGGTGTCAAGAAGGGCAGCAAAGAAGCCACTTCTCTCCAGGAAAAACATCAGGGACAGACTGATATTCTGCAAAAGGTACAGGGATTGGACTGCTGAGGACTGGGGTAAAGTCATTTTCTCTGATGAATCCCCTTTCCGATTGTTTGGGGCATCCGGAAAACACCTTGTCCAGAGAAGACAAGGTGAGCGCTACCATCAGTCCCGTGTCATGCCAACAGTAAAGCATCCTGAGACCATTCATGTGTGGGGTTGCTTCTCAGCCAAGGGAGTGGGTTCACTCACAATTTTGCCTAAGAACACAGCCAAGAATAAAGAATGGTACCAACACATCCTCCGAGAGCAACTTCTCCCAACCATCCAAGAACAGTTTGGTGACGGCCAATGCCTTTTCCAGCATGATGGAGCACCTTTGCCATAAGGCAAAAGTGATAACTAAGTGGCTCGGGGAACAAAACATCGACATTTTGGGTCCATGGCCAGGAAACTCCCCAGACCATAATCCCATTGAGAACTTGTGGTCGATCCTCAAGAGGCGGGTGGACAAACAGAAACCCACAAATTCTGACAAACTCCAAGCCTTGATTATGCAAGAACCAGTCATGATGTGGCCCAGAAGTTAATTGACAGCATGCCAGGGCGGATTGCAGAGGTCTTTAAAAAGAAGGGTCAACACTGCAAATATTGACTCTTTGCATAAACTTAATGTAATTGTCAATAAAAGCCTTTGACACTTATGGAATGCTTGTAATTATACTTCAGTATACCATACTAACATCTGACAAAAATATCTCATAATACTGAAGCAGCGAACTTTGTGAAGACCAATACTTGTCATTCTCAAAACTTTTGACCAAGACTGTACACTAACTTTCACACTAGATGGCTGGGCGGGGTGGGTGTGGAGCCAGAGACAGCAGGGGTTCAAACTGTAGAACCAGTTCCTACATTTGAATATAAAAAATATTTTATCAAACAAAACTATGCTACATTTTTATCTCTGGGACCCTTAGGATGACAAATCAGAGCAAGATTACTGAATGTAAGTACATTATTTACCTTCAGAGGTGAATGTATCAAATCAGTTGCCGTGATACGTTTTTTGTTGTTGTTCACTCTCCTCAAACAATAGCATGGTATTTTTTTCACTGTAATAGCTACTGTAAATTGGACAGTGCAGTTAGATTAACAATAATTTAAGCTTTCTGCCCATATAAGACATGTCTATGTCCTGGAAAGTTTGCTGTTACTTACAACAGTCATGATAATAACATTAGCGCACGTTAGCTCAACCGTCCAGTATAGGCGACACCGATCCCGTAGAGGTCAAGTTGTTCCAGCTTAATGATTCCTACAG